GGGCGTGCAGAGCGGGGGCTCCCAACTTCTCTTGGAGGCAGCAAGAGCAGCCACATCCTGGCAGAGGGTGGGGGCGCATTTGGGGAAAATAAGGGCCTAGGATGGCTAGAGATTTGTCTCAGGGAGACCTGGAGAAGTTCCGGACTATCATCTCACTCATCTCATGCCCTTTTCACGACCAAGCTTGGGGTCTTTGGGGGACTTTGGGGACAGAGTCCATCTCTGGCCCCAACTGACTGATTTTGCCCTGAGGATAGGTTCTTAGCTCACACTGTGTAGTTCTGGGCTGTCTGGTGAGCGAAGCCCAGAGACACTGACCCACAACCCCCAGACCCCCACCCCCACCCCAACAAGCAAACAGACAAAACCTTTTCCTCTGAAATGCCTTTCTTTCGTCTTGCCTTGTTTCATTGCTATAGTTTAAGCGAACTAGGTTAGGATTGTCTGTAAACCGCCAAATTGTATATAAAATTTTGTGTCTAAGCGTGCATTTTTTGAGGAGAGCTGCCATAGATTTTTATTTGATTCTCCCAAAGATCAAACAGCTAAAATCGTAGCTTTGAGCCGGTTCCACATGGGAGTTCTAACAGACTTCAGGGTGTCTGAGTTGCAGATTCTTGTTTGAAAGCTGGGATTCAGGGAGGAGCTGGGGGGAGGGATTCCATCAGGGTTCAGGGAGGACAACATTCACCTACTGGCACCAATTTGTCTGGGTTAAGAACTGGTCTGTTTTCCACTACTAGAAAATCAAATTAGTTTGTAGATATGTAGATGAGAAAACCAAGATGTATCTTTGAGAATGGAAGGCCTATCCAGGTTTCTTCTTCGTAACCAAATGTGACCCCAGCGGTGGAGTTTCCAGGAACGCCGAGGGAAGGTGAGAAGCACATCGTTCCAAGGTCATAGGTCCCTGGTCCACTGGCAGCTTGAGAGGAGGAGAGAATGGATGTTCACTCAGCCTTGGAGGGCACCAGGTAAACCCAGGGTGTGTGTTGGGGGCAGGCTCGGGGAACTCCAGTGGAAGGGGCATTATTACTACGAAATTAACAGATACCCTTGAAAAATCACTTTTCATCAGTAATCCCACTTTACTTGTTCCCACCAAATGGGCAGAGCTGCTCTGTAGACATAGACGGCAAATGCTGCCACTCCAGTAGTCCCAGTGTGTGACTCACCCGCAAGCTGGCATTAGGATAGCGATCCTCAAGCTGTGTGTTCCCCAAACACTGGTATCCTGCAGGTAGCCTCAAACAGTCACAATCTCTTCTCAATTTCAGAGGAAAAAACAGAACGCAAAATTATAAAAACAATTTCCCAAATCTTTGGAGATTGCGTTTATTTGTGTGACATCTTGTTGGGATCAGAATTATGTATCTGGTGATGCTGAGGCATCATAGATCATTACTTCTAGTTTGTAAAGAGGCCATCAGCTCTAGGTGGTCTGGGATCCACTGTTGTAGCCAAGAGTCGAGAAGGCACCGCATTTTGAATGTAAATACGTCCTTTGAATGTAAATGATTCCTTTGTGGACGGACATCTGGTGCTCTGGGTGGTGGCAGTGAATTGCACAGGACCGGGGACTGTCGAGGAAAGAAACTGCCTCATTCTACTTGGCTCGCAGCCCAGAACAGTTTTTTGTCTGCTGTTCTTAACTTCACACATATTTTGTAAACTCGAACCATTCTTTTAGTGAGATTTATGGGTGAGGGGGTTACATTTCTTAGCCCCTCCTCCCTTACAATTAAATCCCAAGCTGAACTGCTGTTTTTCAAATAATAAAGTGGTTGTTTCTACCTACAACCCGTCTTTTCCTGATAGCATTATTATTTTAAATGACCCCATAACATGGCAGAGGTTTATTTGGCAATGGCAGAAATTAATTTTGTTCCTTACTTTAAAAGTCATTAAAGAACCAAGCTTGCTTTCTTTCTTTCCTCTTTTTTTTTTTTTTTTTTAATAATAGTTGCTGCTTCACTAGCCCTTCAGGACAAGATAAATGTTATTGATGTTACTCATTGCTCTTTTATGCATTCAGCAAATCTTTACGGAGCACCTTCTGGGTGTGGGCCCCTGGGGTGTGAGGTGACTTCATGTTTGTGCTTTCAGGGAGTTGACAGATCAGTGCTGTGGACGTCAATCTTGATTTGTAAGAGCTCACTTCAGGAAGGGCTGCCTCAGGGACTCCCTGACCATGACAATTTTCATTGGATTTCAATTACTGCCTCCTATCCATGCATGAGCCCATTTCCCTTGGTGTTGGCCAAGGGAAAAGCTATTCACTGTGGTTTCCTGGCCTCGCAGCACCCTTGCTGGTCAGCGGTGCCTGACTGCTGTCAGCTCCATTGCTCTGTAGGTGCTGGTTCTATGAGTAGCATTGCCGGTGAGAGTCAGTTGACTTAACAAGGAGAGAAACCTTCGCTGTTGGTAGGTCATACGTGGTCTCCTAGGGAGCACTGGCTTCTCTTGCTAGGATCCTAAGAGCTGCCCAGGGGCCTCTTACACACACCTGGGCTATTTTTTTCTAATTCATTCAGAATAAAAGTAATAAATGATTAAATGTTTTGTGATCTGCACCCTGAGTGAGATCTAGAAGAGAATATTCAACACCAAACAGGGAAAGGTTCTTACTAATTTTGGATTTGTTAAGTTGGGCCCATCTGAATATGCTTCTGTGCTCTGCGGAGGAAAAGCTTGATGCTGTAGACTTTAGTACCAGGTAATAGTGGTAATGATATCAGGCACTGATACAGCACTTACTAAGTCCCGTGCACCCTTCGACACACTTTATGTAGACTAACTCATTTAGTCTTCTCTCAATCCAAAGTAGGTATCATTATTATTGACATTTTAGCCCTGGATCGTACGATTTAGAAGTCTGATTTACTGAGCACTGATTTCCCTCTTGATTACTCATTGTAAGAGGCAGCCCAGCTCTGCAGACAGACTGCCCTGTTCTTTATCTTGGTTCACTACTAGTAGCAGTGTCGCCTTGAGCAAGTCATTGCCTTACCTGTGCCTCGGTCTCCTCATCTGTAAAACGGGGGTGATCAGGGCACTACCTCACTAGGTTGCTGTGAGGATTAAATGAATTTACATACGTAAGACACTTAGAAGAGTGTTTTGTACACAGCAGGCACTATTGTTTTTACTATTAGCTATTTTTTTCTTTCCAGCTTCATCTGCCGGTGCCCCCTAATATAGCAGCCATGCTAAGCTACTTAGAGTTCCCTTAGACCTCCTCAACTCTGTCATATTTCAGTGCCTTTGCACATGTTATTTCCTTGCCTAAAATGACTTTCCCATCATCTTGCTAATGTCAGCTTACATGTTCCTCCTACATGACCTTCCTCTAATGCCCACTGTTATTCTCCAGGTAGCTGTTCCCTCCCTTTGTGATCTTAGTAGCTGTGTACTGTTCGTCTATCAAAGGACTTAATTATTAACAACTACCTAACATTTATGGAGCACTTATGGGCCCAATAGTATCCCAAGTATTTTTCTTGCTTTTCTTTGTATATATTGACAGCTCCATGAGGTAAGGTTATATTTTTTTAAAATTATTTTCGTGCCCATCTCCCCCAGTAGACTGTGATAGGGGCTTGTACATATGTGTGTATATTATCACTTCGTATCTCTAGGACCTGGCAGAGTGCCTAATTAATACACAGTGGGCTCTCCATAAATGTGTAAGTTGATGCATTTTTACCAACAGCTATTTACATTCAAATAATAAGCTAATTGTAGCAATTCTTTTATATAATCTATATGCTTTTCTCACTACAGAAATTCACTCTCAAAATTATAGAAAACACTGATAAGCAAGAAGGAAGTTCAAATTCCACTCCTCCCAGCCCTGGAGAATCTAAACCACTTGCTTAGGGATACACAATGACTCATTGGCCAAACTGAAAATCAAGGTCAGGCCATCTGGTGATAGAGCCCAAGCTCTTAAGGCTGTGTGATCCTGCTGCCCCCCCTCCCCTCCACCCCTGTTCCTACCCACACATGAACAAATTATGTTGGCTATTCACATGGGTTGGAAGAGCTGAAATCTGAAATGAAATTACCATGCTTAGAATGGTGCAATGCATGAAATCTACTTTTTATACATTCCTAGTATCCAGTCTTTTCATGCCTTGCATTTTCTTACCCATCATTTTTTTAGGGTAACACAGATTAAGAGGCAGCACAGGGAGGAAAGTAGAAAGAGCATCGCTTCTAACTCAGACAAGCCTGAGCTGGGATCCCAGCCATGACACTAGGGGTGCTACCAGTATAAGGTGCATATTTGTATAACCTGCCTCTGTCTTAGTTTCTTCTGTGAAAGGGCTATACGAAGAAATACTTCTCCGTGTTTTGTCAAGTAAAGGGGTAAAGCGCTTGATTCATGGTGAGTCTTGTAAAATCTCTAATGCTGATACCCTATGGCTTCCCAACAGCAACCCTGCCAAATTGTTTTCCGCAGTCCCCCCCCTCAATGGTTTTTCCCCCAATCCTTCATTTTAATTCTCATGGTAATTTAACTTTTATATTATTATTAGATGTCTTTAGTAACTTGCCTCACAGCCATTTTCTTAGAAATTCAATCTCTTTGCCCCATGAAAGAGAAAAAAAAAATGGCAAATTTAAAATGTTAGAGCAATTTTCATTTAAGAGTGGATCAATATTTTCCTTACCCTATCGTTAATGTTTTCTATTTTCTTTTATCAGCGAGTTAGTTCTCAGTCAATTCATATTGCCAAACTGCAGCCCCTTGTTTTCTTGCAGGATGAAAGGAGACAACCATGAAGGAGCCACTAGACAATTTTGCAAATGCTTCTGATTTCCCCAATTATGCAGCTGCTTTTGGAAATTGCACTGATGAAAAAATCCCACTCAAGAGGCACTATCTCCCCGTTATTTACAGCATCATCTTCCTGGTGGGCTTTCCAGGGAATGCAGTAGCAATTTCCACTTACATTTGCAAAATGCGGCCCTGGAAGAGCAGCACGGTCATCATGCTGAACCTAGCCTGCACCGACCTTCTGTACCTCACCAGCCTCCCTTTCCTGGTTCACTACTACGCCAGCGACGAGAACTGGATTTTTGGAGATTTCATGTGCAAGTTCATCCGTTTTGGTTTCCATTTCAACCTGTACAGCAGCATCCTCTTTCTCACCTGCTTCAGCATCTTCCGTTACTTCGTGATCCATCACCCCATGAGCTGCTTTTGCATTCACAAAACCCGGTGGGCCGTGGTGGCCTGCGCTACGGTGTGGATCATTTCCCTGGTGGCCGTCACTCCCATGACTTTCCTGATCACATCAACCACCAGGACCAATAACTCTGCCTGCCTTGACCTCACCAGTTCAGATGACCTCACCACTATCAAATGGTACAATCTAATTTTGACTGCAACTGCCTTCTGCCTTCCCCTGGTGATAGTGACACTTTGCTACACAATGATTATCTGCACCCTAAACCGAGGACCTCAGACTCACAGCTGTGTTAAGCAGAAAGCTCGGAGGCTAACCATTCTGCTACTTCTTGTGTTTTATATTTGTTTTTTACCCTTCCATATCCTGAGGGTCATTCGGATCGAATCTCGCCTGCTTTCTGTCAGCTGCTCCATTGAGAATCAGATCCATGAAGCTTACATCGTTTCTAGACCGTTAGCCGCCCTGAACACCTTTGGTAACCTGTTACTGTACGTGGTGGTCAGTGACAACTTCCAGCAGGCCATCTCCTCCATGGTGAGATGCAAAGCAAGTGGGGACCTAGAGCAAGCAAAGAAAACCAGCTACTCAAACAACCCTTGACATACTTCATTTACTCAACCACAGAGAAAAGTTTGCTGATGCTTCCTTCCCCTATAATTTCTAAGAAGTCCAGAATATCTCCCTCAGTAGAACTCAGTAAATATTGTGTATTCAGGTAATTATGTGTCAAAAACCAGGACAGAACTGCCAGGACTTCTTTACAACCCATTTATTGAGATCCTCCTTTGGGTAGACATAAGAATGGTATGCATGCATATCAGTAAAAGATTAAAATGTAAAATTGGCACTATTGGAACTCAAGGTCATGTTGGAGAACACTTGCCTAGGTCTCTCAGTAAGTTAGGCCCAAGACAGGAGAAAGTCAGTTTTCACTCATGGTTTCATACTCCTTCATACTAGGGCCTATTTGTATTGAACCTCAAGACAGTTCAAGGCATTATTTGTATCTTTTTCAATATTCATTTATTTTACATTTTATATTTTTAAACCTTTTCTTAAAACTTTGCTTTGAGGTTATTAAACTATGTTTTCACTAAGCTTTAGTCAGTTTTGTAGATTAAAGCAAGTCAGTACCATACACGAGATAATTCAAAGATGTCAATGCAAATAACTGAAGCGAATACCTGCAAAACATTTGGGGTATTATATCTTTACTGTTATAGATCATTTTCCAAGATGTTATTAATATAAAAATTATCAAGTGTATTAGTTATCAACATGTCCTGGGGAAGGAGGGGAACCTTTTGGGGAACAGAAGTACTTTTAAATATCATGTATATATTAGGTATTAAATAAAATCTAACATATTTTTTACTTCTCTCAGTGGGTAAATATTTCAGGAAACACTAATTCTCTTTATATACCTTTCTCTTTTGGGACTATCATGAAAATATGACTTCTATTACAATAGCTAAAGCTGTTTTTGAATTGTGTGTGTGCTTAATTATCACTAAGTGTAAATATCTGAGAAAATGCCTAGTCTGAATATTTTAAAACCTAGCAAATGTGTTGATATAATTAATAAACTAATTTTAAAATCACTGAATAGGCTGGTAATTGTGAAAACGCCGCTTTACTACAATTATATTTACACGGAGCTTTATGTTCTCCATGTTTAGAGAACAAAAATAATTCTAGGAATCAGTTATAGAATAAGGCTGGAGTCGATGATTTCAGCAGAAGAAAGGTTGCCATGGGAACTCTTTGTGATTCCCAGGTTCTTCCAGGACATTACATCTGGCATAGACTTAATTGAGGATGTTCCTCAGGAACCTCTGCCAGGCATGCTGGGGAAGAGAGGAAAACCAATGTTCTACATATGAACGTTCTGGATGATGGCATTCTCTCCACCCGTCACCTTCTGAGCCATCTCCTCTTCTGCTTGGCCTGTCCATAGCATATGGAATCAGTTATTTCACCAGAGGGCCAGACGCGCCCGCCCATGTGGCTGCACAGCATATGGAGTAGCATTCAAGGGTCCATTTGGAACGCGGACACTGGGTGCCTTCCTCTCCCGTCTCCCTAGCACCCAGCCCAGCTTCTGGCCATCACTGAAATGTAGTCAGATAAGCCTTTGCACCACCGCTGTTGTTATTCTAGCCCAGGACACACTCCCCCGGCCGCTCTCTCTCTCTGTCTCCTTCATACTCCAAAGATATATGCCCCCCGATGTTCATAGCAGCACAGTTTACAATAGCCAAGATCTGGAAACAGCCCAAGTGCCCATCAGTAGCTGAGTGGATAAAAAGCTGTAGGACATTTACACCGTGGAATACTATGCAGCTGTAAAGAAGAAGGATCTCGTACCCTTTGGGACAGTATGGATGGGCCTGGAGAATATTATGCTAAGTGAAATAAGCCAGGCAGAGAAAGACAAATATCACATGATCTCGCTTATACGTGGAATCTTAAGAACTTAATAAACTGATGAACAGAATAGATTCAATGACATGGAAGCATAGATGAGACTGACGAATGTCAGAGGGATGGAGGAGGGCGGGTGGGTGGAGGGTGAGAGAGTAACCAAAGAATTTATGTGCATATATGTACAACCCAAGGACATGGACAATGGTGGGGAGGAACTGGGGAGGGGGATAGGATGGGGTGGAATGGGTCTGGGGAGAAAAAGGGACATCTGTAATATTTTAAACAAAAAAAAAATTTAAAAAAAAAAGAAAAAGATTTCACCCACCCGAGAAAAATCACTTCAGTCTCCATGTCTATCTCAGCTTGTCTCTGTAGCTTCTCTTACCCTTTTCCTTCCTTCTACCAACTTACAGAAAAACAAATCACCTCTCTTTCTGATATTAATTCTTCCACTTTGTCTTTGATCCTTACTGTGCTCTCTTAGGAAATTTCCTCTGACACTCAATCCCACTTTCTCAATTTGTTAGCATTTCTATTACCCTAGATAATTGACCTTAGCTTGGGAACACGTAGGGTTTTCCTTTATCCTCAAAATACCTTCCCTCGACTCAGCTGTTCCATCATTTTCTTATCTGGCTTGTTCCCCGCAGTTATGGGTCAGGTGCAGATGACTGTCTGCCTTCCAGGGTCCTGCTGATAGAATATAATCGCACAGATCCAAGCTAAATTGGATTCAAAGGGTAAGTTTTATTTTCCAAAGTAAAGAGTTCAGGGCTAATTGTGCTGGAGGATGCAGTTTGGAACTGAGGCCAAAAAAGAGATTGATGATACTTCCAAGGCTAGAATGGGACCTGAACGACCTTGCCTCACATACCCAGCTGTAGGCAGAGAAGGTGGAAGAACAAAAGGCAGAGCTGACTGTCTGCCAGAGAGGGAGCCGCCCGCTTGGTCTGCTCTCTGCGTAAGGACTGGAAGGTCAAGTCTAGCTCCCTGCATCTGAGCGCAGGAAGCCAGAAAAAAACTATTCTAAACTCTGGAGACACAGTAACTCCCTCATTTTGTTTTTAACTTAACATGGACATTTTCAAATATTCACAAAATTAAAGAAAGTAGCAAAATGACCTCACATACCCATGCCTTAATTTTGCCAGTAATCAACACCACACCATTCTGGTTTTATCTATCCCATCCCACGCCCCTCCCTTTAAAATATTTCAAATCAAATATTAGAAAACACAGTAGTTTCCCTATAAATGCTTCAACATTGATCTCTTTCAAAACACACAAAACCAAAACAAAATACATTCTTAATATTATTTTGAAGTATAGCATCCCCATTTCAACCTTTACAAGCACTACTTTGAAGATAGGCAAGAGCAACAAAATTTGGTAAACAATGACCTCTTCCCCTTCTCCTAGCTCTTTGTAAACTTTGTAAAAGGTTCCTTCCCCTTTCCCCCCCATAAAAATTCCAGGGAGTAATTTCCAAGGAATAGTTAACCAAGAAAGTTAATTAACGCTTATCTTAGCTTCTGTCTGCCCCTTCACTAGTCCCCCGCCTGCCCCCTCAGCCAAACAGAATGTGGGTTTTGCCTTTATATTCTCCCTGCGAAGACTGTTTGGGGCTGCGAGTCTGTTTAGGGCACGAGTCCCTTGCAGCTGCCGGCTTAATAAATTCCAAATGCTCAATTTAGTCTCTGTGAATTAATCTCATGAAAACTGGGTATAACAATTTAATATCTAATCCATATTTTTATTCCCCTGGTTATGTCAAAAGTGTCTTTTTACAGTTGGCTTTTTTCAAATCAGGTTCCAAACAAGGTCTATGCATTACATTTGGTTGACATGTCTATTAAATTGCTTGTAACCTGTTAGAGTTACCCCTCCCTTTACTTATTGCCATTTATTTACTGGAGAAATCAAGTTGTATGTCTTGTGGAATTTTCCACATTGTGGGTTTGGTTGTTTGAATTTCACTTTTGTTGTTTATCATGATTCTTTATATCCCTATTTGCTGTAAATTGGAAGGTAGAGCTAGAGATTAGATACAGCTTCCTTCCTTCCTTCCTTCCTTCCTTCCTTCCTTCCTTCCTTCCTTCCTTCCTTTCTTCCTTCCTTCCTTCCTTCCTTCCTCCCTCCCTCCGTCCCTCCCTCCCACTTCCTTCTCTCTTTTCTTTTTCAGAAGCACTAGGCCACTGGAGGAGGTGTGTAGTGTCTGACAACCCCCCATTTAGTGGCTGAACAGGGGTTTCAGGATGTATCAGCCTGATCCTTCTATGAGAAAGTTCTCCACCTTCCTTTGCCTTCTTAGCTTATCATCAGGCTCCTTGTTGTCTCAATCTGCTCGGGCTTTCACGCCGATGACTGGAAAATTCTAACACTTCTGCTTGTGTTTCTGCACAGATCTTTGACTCATCAACTACCTTTACCGTTTCCACTCTGACCACAGCTCCCACTGATCAGATTTGGCTCCCGCTCCTTTGGGAAGGCAAAGTAAGGGATGAAAAGAGTTCTGGGAGCTGCCTCTCCAATGCTTCCCCCATGGGAGTGCAAGGAGTTGACAGAATTTCCCTTCAGTATGGGCCACATTTTTGTTCTTTAACTTTTCAGGATTAACAGCTAAGCCTGTGACCCACAGGGCTGGAGCCAGGCCCTTGGGGAAAGGGGCCGCGGGCGGGGCTCGCCCACTGTGCCATGCTTCTCCTGCAGACCCACCTTAGTGCCTGTGAGTCCTGGACCAGTGCAGGGCATTTTGATTCTCCCCTGAAGGCCCTGAGAAGGGGTGGTGCAAGATGTTTCTTGGATGCTATAACAGATGACTACAAATTTAGTGGCATAAAACATGGAGCCCTTGAGGCTAACAGTCACTTCCGCTCTAATTTTATTCTTAAATTCTACCCAGCAACACCATGTAATATAACCTACTTGATACTATACAGTGAGCCCAAATGATATCAAATGATGCAAGGCCAGCATTATAAAAATGCCTGAAGGTTGAGAGCCCTCTCCATTATTGAGCTACAGGAAGAAATTAAATTGTAACATGCACTGATCTGTTGTTTTAAAATTTTATTTTCCTCTCAGCACTTTCATCTAAATATTTTCTATTGATCTCTTTCATTAATCCTGCCTTATATATCTGCAATTTGCTATTAAACCCATCCATTGAATCTCTAATGCCAGATATTATATTTTTATCATTTATAGAAATTCCATTGGGTTCTCTTCATTAGTTCTACCATTTCAGTGAATTGCTTTGTCTTTAATCTATTTTTGTCTATCTTTCCCTATATTTTCTAGAGTTGAATAATCATAGTTATTTTAAAGTCTTTATCTGTCCACTTCAGTATCTGGATTCCTTTGTTCTGTTTCTATTATCTGTAATTTTCCTGTTTGTTGGTCACATGACCCTGTGTCCTTGCATGTCTGCTTTTTTGATTAAATGACAGAAATTGTGTATGAAAGAATCAATAAAGCTGCCCTGAGAAGTTTTTATTTCAGTTATTTTACTTTTTGATTGTAAAATTTCCATTTAATTTCACTTCTAAAATTTTCTCTTATTCACTAAATAAATCATATTTTTCTTTAACTCTTTAGATGTATTTAAATTGTTGTTTTAACATATTTGTCTATTAAATCCAGCATCCTATTTGTATTACTTTTTTTCTGGATGCTGAAACAGATTACCACAAATTTAGTGGCTTAAAATACCACAAACTTTTTCTCTCTTAGAGGTCAGAAGTCTGAAATCAGTTTCTCTGGACTGTTGCCAAGGAGTTGGCAGTCCTCCCTTACTTCTGGAGGCTCTAGAGGAGAATTAACTTTCCAGCTTCCAGAAGCCACCTTCCATCTTCAAAGCCAGTACCATATCACCTTCAAATCTCTCTCACCTGTGCTTCTATCTAAATACCTCCTCTCTCTGACTGATTCTCCTGTCTTTTTTTAATTGAAACTTTTCCAACTGCATTGGGCCTACCCAGATAATCCAGGATAATTTTCTCACCTCAAAATCCATAATATAACCACATCTGCAAAGTCCCTTTTTCTATGCAATGTGACATACTGGTTCTGAAGATTAGTTAGAGGACATTTTTTGGAAGGCTATTATGCAACCTACCATGGTGGTTCCGTAAGAACAACTGGCTAAAGTAACAATAATAACAATGTAAAGTGA